CTCTCTCCTATCTCTCTCCTCTCTCTCTCTCTCTCTCCCTCTCTCTCTCTCTCTTCCTCTCTCTCTCTCTTCCTCTCTCCTCTCTCTCTCCTCTCTCTCTCTCTCTCCTCCTCTCTCTCCTTTTCCTCTCTCTCTTCTCTCTCTCTCTCCCTCTCTCTCTCTCTCCTCTTTCTCTCTCTCTCTCCTCTCTCTTCTCTCCTCTCTCTCCTCTCTCTCTCTCTCTTCTCTCTCCTTCTCTCTCTCTCTCTTTCTCTCCTCTCTCTCCTCTCTCTTCTCTCTCTTCTCTCTCCTCTCTCTCTCTCTCTCTCTCTCTCTCTCTCTCTCCTCTCTCTCTCTCTCTTCTCTCTCTTCTCTCTCTCTCTCCTCTCTCCTCTCTCTCTCTCTTCTCTCCTCTCTCCTCTCTCTCTTCCTCTCTCTCACTCTCTCTCCTCTCTCGCCTCTCTCCTCTCCTCATTCTCTTCTCTCTCTCTCTTCTCTCGTCTCCTCTCTCTCTCCTCTCTCTCTCTCTCTCTCTCTTCTCTCTCTCTCTCTCTCTCTCTCTCTCTCCTCTATATATATATATTATATATTTATATATATATATATATATATATATATATATAATATAAAACTTTCTCAGTAATAGTTCAATAGTTCATTTATCTGTTGACACTCCGTCCTGTGTTCTTGCAGGTTTTCCCTCTGTGGGCAAGTCCACACTGCTTAGCAACCTCGCAGGTGTGTACTCTGAGGTGGCTGCCTACGAGTTCACAACCCTGACAACCGTCCCTGGCTGCATCAAGTACAAGGGAGCCAAGATCCAGGTCAGGCAATTGTACAAGTAATAAGTAAGGTAGTGGGACTGATTTATGTTAGTGGAGAAAGATTTGCATAGTTGAAGAAGGTTATACTAGTCTTGTAGGTTATTTGTGTATTGGATTTTGCTGAATAGACATATTTTGGCAATATAAGCTTTGTGATTGAATCTGATGTGACATTTATGATTTACTGTTATTTCATTGGCTATTTATGTTTTCAGATTTGCACCCCTCTCAAATGTAGTCATGTGACAAATAGTGTGAAAAGTGATACTTAACATTCTTCCCTCTTTTCTTCAGTTGCTGGATTTACCCGGTATCATTGAGGGAGCCAAGGACGGCAAAGGTCGTGGTAAGCAGGTCATTGCCGTGGCTCGTACCTGTTCTCTCATTTTCATTGTCCTTGATGTTTTGAAACCCCTTGGACACAAGAAGTTGATTACTCATGAATTGGAAGGTTTTGGCATCAGACTGAACAAAGTGAGTTATCGGAGACCAGATAAAAGGTCATACGTTATCTTTATTTATAAATCGTAAGATACACATCAAGCATGCAGTTACTTGAACCAGAATTTATGACAGGTTAAGCCTTGTGATTATTAGGCACTGCTATATGAATGCTGATAGACATTGGGTCCTAAATAAAAAAGTGAACTTTGTACAATAAGTTCTGATGTATTTTTTCAATGCAAAAACACCAAAACTAGTTGGAAATTACAACAGGCCTTGTGCATATATCTCTGAAGAATTTTAGTAGCAAGTGAAAACCTCTGCATAGCTTATTGGGCTCTGTAACTCCACCAAATATACACATAGAACTACTATTCAGTATGTGTCATATTAGCACTTCTTGAGTAGGAGGGGAGTAATTCTTGTACAGGTAGCTTTGACTATGACTTCTATGATGGTTTTAGTAATATACATTCACATATATATTAGAGAAATTAGAGGGATATGTGTAATGTGGACTGTATTATTAAAAGCACTATTGGATATGTTAGTCTTACTTTTGATATTTTTTATCTCTTGCAGGAGCCTCCACAGATTACATTCCGTAAGAAGGAGAAAGGTGGAATAAACCTGCAGTGTGCTGTACCTCAGACAGAACTGGATTTAGAACTTGTGAAGGTAAGGTTCATATTAATAGCCTTTTGAAAATATGTTAGATAGTTTCAAGATAGCAAATAAAATGTCAGGTCTTCTTTTTTTTTTTTTTTTTTTCCCCCCAAGTTGGGATACCATAATTGATTTAACTAAGCTAATACAAGTAAAAACATTATGTAATGTTAATTCGGTCAGAATGTATCCATTATAAACTGAAATATAGAGATTGATATGAGATATGAGATTACAAGAATGCTAACCAGAAAATAATAAATTTATATGTTTTTACTTTCTTTCTTATTTGTTATTGGAGTTTGGACCATTCAGATTTGAGTATCTATAATATGGATCGTGGAACACATTACGCCATTGACTGTTTTTTTTTACTTATACCCACAATAAAGCAAAAAATATAGCTGCATTTTTCATCCTGATGATTTCTTCACCACGGAAATTTGAAAATCTACTTCACTCTGTATTCCTTCACCCAACAGACGATCTTGGCAGAGTACCGCATCCACAATGCTGACATTGTCCTCAAATATGATGCCACAGCTGATGACCTGATTGATGTGATAGAAGGCAACCGCGTTTACATCCCGTGCATCTACCTGCTCAATAAGATTGGTAATTAACCCTCAAGACAATTTTTTATTTATGTATGGAAAAAGTTTGGTGGTAAAGTATGCCATTAAAATTCTTTGGAAAAAGACAATGAAATTATTCTTTCTTATTCCTCCTTCTCTCCTCTTCTTTGGGACAGTTAGGTAAACTAGATTGAGAAATAGTTAAGGCTAAATGGCAATTTTATTCTTTTTCATCTTTCTTTCTTCATTTTTCCTTTGGTAGGAATAGTACACGTAGATTTTGCTCCAAATAGAAAACAGTAACATGTAAAGTGATTCCTCCTTTCCTTTCAGATCAGATTAGCATTGAGGAATTGGACATCATCTACCGCATCCCTCACTGTGTACCCATATCTGCTCACCACAAATGGAACTTTGACGATTTGCTCGAGAAGATGTGGCAATACCTCAACTTGACAAGAATGTGAGTTGTGTTTTGGTTTGTGTGGATTATATTAAGTTTTAAGACTTTTGGCATTTTGTATTATAGTCTTTTTTCCTCTCTCCCTCTCCCTCCCTCTCTCATTTCTTTATTTATTTTTGTTTTGCTTTTTAAAAGAAAATTGTGAGTTTACACCCTCCCCTAAATATTTGAATCAGAACATTTTCTTTATATTTTGTCAAGATCATTATTTGTCTCTAAAAAGACATGGAAATGGAAAAGTTTGAATAAATATATATATTTTTTCATAATCCATTTGCATAATGTGACTTCTCATTCCAGCTATACAAAACCAAAAGGCCAGTTGCCGGACTACAATTCTCCAGTCGTTTTGCGATCAGATAGGAAGACCGTGGAAGATTTCTGTAACAAAATTCATAGAACCATTATAAGGGAGTTTAAATAGTAAGTACACATGTATTACATTTGCTTTCTTTGTAAGAGGTCAAGAAACTTGTTTGGGCATGCATTCTGTCCTTATATGGTTTAGAAATTTAGTCAATGCGTACGTTTATACTTAATACACATTCCCAAACCCTTTTTTTTTTTATGAAATCCAAGTATATGTGATGCAATTTTAATTGTCTAATTTACACTACCCATTCCTATGCAGCTTGTAACTGCTTGTTACTAACTTTAAACTTTTGAAGTGTAGTGATATGAATAGTTCAGTGGTGCACTCCATATCTCTGTGCAGCTGGCGACTGGGCTCCAACTTGTACACACAGCGATTAGGACTGAGATGCTAAAATTTAGATACTTTACATGCTATTAGTTTGGTTGTAATGTACCTGTAGTGGTTAAATGGCTCCAAAAAGAAAGATAAAGAAACTTGTAAAAGAAACCGTTACTAGTTACTTGAAAATATGCGTAAATTTGGATGTACACAAATGCCCGCTAATTGTAAGTGAAATCTTGCATTGCAGATTATTAGGCTTCTTAAACAAAATTGAATATAACATAACATTATTTCGCTAATGGAATTTTTTTTTCTTTTCAGTGCTTTGGTTTGGGGCAGCTCAGTCAAGCATCAGCCACAAAAAGTTGGCAAGGATCACGAACTGAATGACGAGGATGTGGTACAGATTTGCAAAAAAGTATAAAACTGAGTATGATTAACACACTGTTTGGGTATAATTTCTGTAAAATGAAATACTCTTCAAGGTTAATTTTGATTTTTTCTTGTTTTCCTTTCTTGTAGGGAAGTGATTCAAAAAAAAAAAAAAAAAAAAAAAATTTGCAAAGTTGTTACTTATATGGAGTTGAAGCAATTTTATAAGTTATGTAAAAGGAATATTAAGCAAAGCTACTGTTATCTCATTTCCATGGACTAACTACCTGGTTTTATTTGTTCAGTGCCTTTATATGTAAAGCTTTATCCACATAATGAAGACACAATTATTGTTAACAGTTTCCACTGTGTGGAGAAGCTTTGGTAATACAGATCAATTTTTGCATACCTTTTTAGTTGTACTTTCTACCTTATTGGTGTATGGCCTTTGAATAGGAAAGCATCACATTGATGTTTGGCCAATGTCATGGAGGTGTGTGGTGGTCACGTTAAGACAATGTGATGGGATACAAGTGGATAAATAAAAACTGGTCTGCTTTATCTGTAAGATGAAAAAATTATTTCATTTATCCTCTCATTTATATTAGTACTAATAAGTCCTTTACCGTGAGTGCGTATGACGACCTTAAGAGATAATTGATTTGACACAACTTCTATAAGATGTAATATTAGATTGTGTTTTTGCTAATTTATATATATATATAAATGTGTGTATTAGCGTGTCTCTTTTAGTGAGAGTGTATGTTTTAGTGCGTGTGCGTGAAACATAACTACTGATGCAAAACAAGTAACAAAAGTGTGATGTTTAATGTTTGAAAATAAATGTGCTAGACATCAGAGAACAAAAGAGTGAAAAGACTAAATAACGAGGGGCTGTATATTTTTTCCACGTGTTGACTCCAATAATCTAGATGCTTAATTCTTGTCTATACAATCCAAAAGGTTTCAATAATAAGCTGTTAGAAACTGTCAAAATACACTTTATTAGTGTAAATTATAAAATAATTCCCAGCTGTTCCTTTTGAGATACTCAGAATGAAAACAACTTCCCATAATTCAGTCAACTGATTTTTTTCCCATATTTCACCTTATTCTTGAGTTTCTTTGGGTTTGCTCCATATGCTGCCAGTCTTGCATCACATATTCCCTGGAGGAAAGGATCTTCCTTTCCATTTTTCTTCCATTTTCGTTTTTCTTTCCTTGGTGATTTAATTACTTCACTGGCATCTTGTGCTTGTACTTCCTCCACTTCCTTCTTCTTCTTCTTTTTCTTTTTCTTCTTCTCATTTTCCTGGTTTTCTTCAACTACTTTCTTCTTTCTCTTCTTTTTCTTATCACTTTCCTCTGTACAAGTTGGTATTTCTATTTCTGGTTCTTGGTTTTCTTCCTCCTCTTTCTCCTTTGTTGTTTTTTCATTAACGCTTTCCTCTGTGACTGTTTCCGTTTCCCCTTCTGGTTCTTGATTTCCATTAATGACGGCTAACTTCTTCTTTTTCTTCTTCTTTTTCTTTGCTGTTTTCACTTCCCATTCTGTGTTTTCTTCAACTGAAGTTCTTCTCTTCCTTCTCTTCCTGTTCTTCCTTGTCCTCCTTCTCCGTCCTTCTCCTCCTCCTCTTCTACCTCCTTTCTCTTCTTCTTGGGGGATTTTGTGTTGGCTCCTTCTAAGCCTCGCTTTTTCCGAGATCGTTCTGTTTTCTCTCCATCTTCTAGTTCAGTGCTGCATTCACCTAACATGCTCTCCTGCTCTTCTAACTTCTTCTGCCGTCTTAGTTTCTTCTTCAGGTTTTTCTGTCTTTTCTTTTCTTCCTCAGCCTCTAAAATATCCTCTGGATTTCTGAAAATATATTTTTAAAAAATTAAAATTCAGATATGTATCCATTGCTTTAACTTATATCAGACACAAATTTAAACTGATGTCCACAGAAAAATTGGTCACATAAATTGAGATATGTTAAATACTTCATAAACTATTCCTTAGTCCATGAGGTGGGCATTTATTCATTCTATATGAATAAATAAAAAACGAAAAAATCAATCAAGAACAAAATTGATCAAAAAGAAAGAAACAATCTTTGAGTTCATGCTTTTGTCTTCTCACTGAAGTATTCAGTGCCTATATGACTGATCTCTGAAAAATGCACCATATTGAGAACTCACTCAGCAAAAAGACTGGGAAGTATTTTCTGTTTTGATGCTGCAACATCTCTGCCGCTGTATAGTTGAGATCGATCTCTCTTCTCCATTGCATCTGTTCTGTCATGTCTTAATATTTGTCTAATGGGGATCCATTTCTGGAGCTCAGTAACACCAGCATTCAGAATCTACAAAAATCAAGAGATTGATTTTTGATATTGATACGGTGGGAAAAAAATATATATATATTACTTATATAAAGTATTATAGAAATATGTGTGTCCGTGTTTGCATTGAGAGAAATGTTGATTGACAGTGTGTGCCTATGTATAAATATGCATGCTTGTGTGAGTCAGTGAAGGAGTGTGTGTTTGTGCAAATGTGTGTACACTGTAGATAAAGATAAGAAAGGTAAAAATTCAAAATATACAAACCTCCTCAGTTGACAGACCAAAGTCATTTGGCTCTACTTTCCATTTTATACCGGCATGCACTCCTCCCACTATGTCTTCAAAGTCGAGATTGTAGTACTCATTAAAATAGGAGTCAAAATCCTTTTCATCAGGGTTAAACACAGGCTTCTTTTTCTTGAGTGCACGAGCAAACTTTGATTTTCTTCTGCGATTAACTCTGGATGAGGATTCTACGACCTCCTGTTGGACGGTCTTGGATTCCTCTTCTGGATCATAATCAGCATCCATCTAGACGTAACAAAAATACCATGTCTAGCATAAAAGTATTCATTACATAGCAATTATAGATAATTATTCAAATTGATGTTACTTCACTGGAGAAGAGAAACTCCATATTCCTTTGACCAACGTGAAATCATTCAATTTGTAAAATTTACAATTTTCAAGGCTGTTGAAGTTATTGCTCAATGACAAAATTTCCAATTCTGATCTTAAACTTTTCCTTGTGATTAATCTATGGTCAGGTACTTTATATTATTATTATCAACATGTATTCTGAGAAAAAATTAAAAGTAAAATTACTCACTATTTGAAATTTTGTTTAATCAAATTTTCATCATAGTCACTTTCTTCTCCTCTTCCCCACCTTCTCAATACGTATTTGTCATCATCCGTCCCCCGCAACGCTCTTCGTATAGTATCTACGATCTCATGATGCTGTCTCAAAGTATCAAATATTTTTAGGTTTTTTAACCATATGTTGAAGATACCCTATTTAATATACATATTTTTCCTACTGTCGTTTTTAGTTCTTTGCAATTGAAAATTACGGTTGGCAAATATTACTATTTTTGTTGATTCCATTGAGGAGAAGTTTACAATAAGAGCACACAGTATTTTTCCAAATTTTGTTAATTTAATATATATGTATTTAACTATACTCATCAACCTCATAATAATAGGATTTATGTTAACTTACAATTTTTACTGATGATCAGCATCATCCTTCACAAAACACATGGTGTCATCCTCAATATCCATGTTGTAGTAGTCGTCCCCAAACATGTTAGACCATTTGCATGTGAGCCTCGGTTGTCAAAGTTCGTTCCTCCAGTTCATCATTCTGACGAGTGAACTATATTCAAGATGAAGAAAGGAAAAGTGGGATAAAAGAAAGAAGCAACATAATACTTCTTTTGTACTATCCAATTAACAAACTTTTTGGTTTTCGTTTCCTACTTACACCTAAATCAATATCCTCATTTCTCTTTCTTGGTTTCTTTTGGAATTTGAGTGATTTCAGATATCTTGCTTTTTTTGTCTTTCTATGGAGTATGTATGTTCCTTTCTCTTCTCGTGTGTGTGTGAGCTTTAGTCTTCATATTCCGTGTAGTGCTGAGGAATTCGCTCTGGT